ATCAAAGTATTATCAAAGTAAAGTGCCCTTGCCAACAATCCTCCCACTAAAATTGGTCATTCAGGTCGTGTCTGTTTGTGGGACTTTGCTGTGTACAAATTGGTTGCTGTGTTAAGAGTCACCACACTTTACCATAAATAAAAGTGCTTAGAGATATTTTGGCAAAATGATAAGGCGCTATATCAAATGCAAGGATTATTATTTATTTTTTATTGTTTTATAAGATCCAAACAATAAGTCTCCTTCAGCATTTTTCTTCATAGCATTATTAATAATTAAAATCCTGTATAATATCTCAAAATACATACAGCGCTGGAGTTTGTCTTAAATTTGTTTTCAAAAAGGGTGGATGATACCTTCAAGGCATTTCCATTATATCAAAGACTTTTATTAAAAGGGTAATCCCTCCTTTGTACCAACTTCCACTTGCACATATATTTTCTCTAAAATTCATTGTTCGATTGACTTTTCTGGGAAAAGTTAGGTCTTAAACAAAATATCTCAGAAGTCTCCAACTGGTGTCTAATTGATGCTGGAGAAAACATGTCAAGCTTTAGAACTTGTCATCTTTAGTTTATTTGGTAGTACGTTGCTTTGAAGGCTTATGAGATTATTGCTTCTTTCTCCATACAGTCAGTGCAGATGCCTTGTTTACCTATTCAAAAATTTAGTGGCATGTTTATATTTTGAGCAACTAACCTCTGAGATTATTTAAATGGCGTTATTTAGATCCAATTAGGCTCCCGTTGCACCTTATTGTTTGTGTACCCAGTGCACAATATGCTGATTATTTTCAGTCATTTATATCCTTCTGCAACTTTTTATATCTTTATTTCTTTTCCTGTTGATTTTTCGTGTTTACTTAAAACTCCTTTATCATCTTTTACTGATAGACTGTATTTTATTGGGCAATGTAATTGCCACAGCTTTGAGTTTGAACACAGTGCAATAATATACAAATATAAATATTTGAACAGTATATGACAGCATGTAGTCTACTTGGTGCCATAATAGGAATAGAAATGAGTGGTATACCACTAGGGGGACTATAGATCTCCACTGCATGTCTGCAAGGATTATGGGAGGCATGGCATACATTGTATGCCTTTTATGTGTGTCAGATAAAAGTGCAACTGAGGGGAGCAGCCAAGAACTCCCAAGAACAAAATTATCTCCGTTTAACTTCTCTGCTACTTGTGACCCTTACAAAATATCATGGGCAAATAGTGGTCTCTGAAGTAACTGCAGGAAGATTGAAATCATCCCCACATGTTTATGGCACAATCATTGCTTTCCAATGTTTGGTTAGGGTCACCAAAATAGTCCCACTTGAGAAAAATAAATTTGCTTTGTTTCCTCCACTAAATACTTGAAGACATTTAATTAGTTTACTCGGTCTGCACATTTGGTCACCAAATGCTGCTGCTTCAAAGAGAGTACCCGTCTCTGTCTCTCCTTTTTTTGTTAAGAAAAATCCTATTTTTCTTCTGCTTTTTAGCTGTGTGCGTATGAATGGTTTGCGAATAAGGGCCAGAAACGTTGGACTTGAAATGTAAAATCGCCAGGAAGCAGAAAGGGAGGCAAACAGTGAAGCTAATTTAGCCAAGCATAGCTGGTGGTGTTTGTGGTTGTCCCTGACAGCGGTGCTGACTCCAAACCACCTGTGTTTGCTCACTAGCTTTCCTCAATCTGCTAGAAAATGGCCTCAGCATGTCACATGGCAGCGAGATAGTCCGAGCACCATGGGAATACAAAAGCCTGGGCTTTTAGCACAGTTAATCATTAATGCAGCTTTTCTTTGTCCCATTCAGGATTGCTGACAGGCGCTTTGATATTTCATATTTGCCATCAGGTCAGTTGCAGTTATAAGCAGGTACGAGTGAACAGAGCTTATAGCTGCTGCCTCTTGCATTGCTCATATAGGCAACATTAGCCGGATGCAGGTTATTGTGGGTTTGTATCTACCTGCAGAATAATAAAACGTAATAATGATAGGTAATGGAAAATGGCTGTTGTTTTTATACAAGTCTTGTAGCTCATTCATTTCTGCCTTTCTGTCAGTTCATCATTACTGATAAATATACAGCATCAGGGAATATAGTACAAAGGTCACTTCAAGTAACCTGTATTGTTCCCACTTTAAACAGACATTATTCCTTTGGTCGGCTCAGCAAAGGTTAAAAATGTCAGCCTTTTTGTGCGCCGTCATATATTTGCAAATGTACATTTGTTGTTGAAAATAGAAATTTGGTTCAGATCAAGGCTTTTATCTTGCCCAATGCACTGGAAAACCTATTTCAAGCAATATTTCAGTACATAATTGAATGAAAACTGGGACTGACTGAATGACAACTGTCAATCCTGGGCACAAACAGTTAGATCGAAGCGAAAATTGCAAATTCTTCACCAGTCAGCATACAAGAACAGAACAATACAATCCCATCACAATGACAAAATAACAAGAAAACTAGGAGGCTCATGATTTCCCCTTAGCCTGTAGAACCATTTTGTCTTAAAATTTAAGATGGCGTGGAATGGTAGAAATTTCTTGAATTCAGTTTTAATTTTCAAGATTTGTGTTAATAACTGCAGGAAACTGGCTTCCAAATTAAGACTAAAAGTTAGAATTTTGCATCATTTTGCCCTATATTAAGAATCTTAAGACAAATTGAACTTCCACACTAAGACCTGGTGAAATTTTGGGCCCTTCACTGAACTTTTGGAAAAATGTAGGAGGAAACAAAAATTCAATATCTGTTATAAAAATAAGAACGGAGCAAAAGATAAGTAAAGAAGTATTAAAAGCTCATCTATATAATAATTCTTGCATTTGATATACGTCTTATTACGTCTTCGAGACATCTCAAAGCACTTCACACAATAATAATCCTTGCATTTGATATAGCGCTTTTCACATTGGGAGGACGTTCCAAAGCGCTTCACAGAACACACTGTAAAGTGAATTGACCATATCTTGTGGGCAAAGCGCAGCAGCCAATTGCGCACAGCTATTCATCTTGTTCCTGAAAATGTCTTTTGAAAAATTATTACGTTTACAAACAAACAATCTGATGATGCATCAAATCACATCATCGCGTCACTTCTGTGATGTTCTTGTTGGTGGGTGGGTGCGGGGTGAATAGCTGACACATGGACTCCTATGAGTTTTCTTCCTCCGTAAATAAATACGGCTTGCCAAAGACCTTTCATGGAGATGTGGTTCTTTTAACCCTTAGTCTGCTACCAAAGCCAGGGAAAAATGACCGTCTGCCATGAGGGAGTAGGGAATTTAATAATAATAATGATCCTTTCAGTTGATACAGCACCTTTCATGTCAGGAGGACATCTCAAAATGCTTTACAGGATTTATTGTAAATTTAATACAATTTGTATTTATAGTCGAGTTGGAGGTTCACATAGAGCATAAACACTGGCCCAGAATAGTTGGCCTGGATTATAACATTCCATGTCCTATACACCATTGCAGATAAAAACTAATAGTACAGCAATAAAATGACTCCAATATTACACACAGTTTAATTTCTGCAATATTAATCCTATGTAGATAAAATGAACACCAAGAATATAATATCAATTACAGTTATACCTAATGATTCTTTAAGATTTTTTAATCATGGGATCCTAATTCAACATTCTCGGTTATTTCTATTTTCTCCTATTCATTCTTTATCATTCTTTCTCTGTCCCCATTTTTTTTTCACTTTCACTACCTTTCTTCCTTTCAGCTCTCCTCCCCTAAAGGCTTTTGACTTGTTTTTCTTTCTGCTGGTGTAAGGTTCTGGAGGTGTTGATCACCTGTAATTCCTTACCCAAATGGCCATCATTCATATATGATCCTTGCTAGCAAATGATGACAGAATATTTGACAAAGGATTATTATTAAGGATTATTATATAGATTATTATTATTACAGATGTTTCAGATCCTATCTTCACATGTGCACTTCTGGAATAAGTAATTCTATAAAGAAATAGAACAAATTAAACCTCATTTACCACTCACTGGAGGCAGTGATTATTCCCCCTTATCCTGTAAGGTGAAGGCTTTTAAACGCCAAGCTTAGTGTTCTCTATTACTTCTTAATCTATCTCATTTTGCGACTAATCTTTCAACTTGGTAATGTATTGCATTAAAGACCCTGACCCTTCACATAATTTGCATATAGTACTCAAACTGTTGCTTCAAATAATGAGTCACTTTGTAGTGGTGTGACTGTTGTTAAGCCATGCTTCACACAGATGAATTTTTTAAAATATGTTTACAAGAAAGATTTTGAATAAAGATGGCACTTTTAAACAGCCTAAGCAGTTAGCTATTCACATTCTCCCATATTAGAAACTACCAATTTTCCCCTCTGTGCATTATATAATAAATACAGGATTAAACTACTTTAGGATGCACCAATACAGTAGAACAAGAGGCATAGGTTAGAGTTGCAAAACACAATTTCAGGACGGATACCAGGAAGTTTTTCCTTATCCAGAGGGTAATTAACAACTGGAACAGGTTGTCAGGATGGGTGGCTGAGGCCATGACACTGGACTCATTTGAAGAACAGCTTCATGCTGTGATGGGACAGCAGTGTGGGTAATCTAGAAGGATGAGATCAAATGGATCAAAGGGCCTGTTTCATCTGAACCAAACTTGTGATCTTGTGATACGGCCTATTTTATCCCATTACAATGAGTACACAGAGAATTGGGATTAGAGAACATGATAATACAAATTGCCCTGGAGTAGTCTGTGTGGAATGAATGTGATGTGAATAGTTGTGGAATGAGTAGGCCAAATGGTTTATATTGTGTGTCTTTATTGGCACTATACAAATGTAGTTTTGTTGTTGTTGTTGTTGTTCATTTGCTCTCTTCCTCCCATTTGGCCTTTAACATTGATTAACAAAAATCTAACAAGAAATACCAGTCATAGACACTTTGTCACTGTGTTGTAATATCGCTAGAAACATGACTCAGAATCAATTGTATGTTGAACTCTGGAGTCTGAGCTCTTTTTGGTTTTAATGTCAATAAGTCACAAAAGTCAATTTGTTATGCAGGACATCAAGTATTTTTTCCCCTCTATATTTCCAACAAATTTCCCCTCTGCTTCCCTCTGAAGATGATCCCTCTTATTGTGGAGCAGATGGTAGAAATCCTCCAAAGTGTGCAGTGCTTTTGCCAGGCCATATCTTAAATATAGTATACATTTCCAGTAGCTACAACAAAAGCTGTGGAGTCCCCAAGCCTTGGATCTTGCCAACCTGTGTCGAGGGATAGAGTGTGTATTCCATTCCAAACACAGGAAAAATTCCAAGCGGAGCTGGCATACAAATGTGGAACTCTCAGTTTGATTTGGTTGCTCTTAAGCATGATGCTGAATTTCTGCGCATATAAGAAATACGGCTGGAAAAAAAATCAAAAGAGGTGGCCTACCCAGGCCCTAGAGTCAATACAGAGCAGAACAATGAGTTATGAAAAATGGGAAAATCAGCTTGAAGTTGTCAGACTTTAAAGAGACACTCAGAGGGAACATTATGGAGGTACTTAAGATTCTAAATTGAATTGAGAATTTAGATCTAGAACAATATCTTGAAATACAGCAAACCAAGAACTAGTGATCCCAAACCAAGTAATGACCTAGATGATTGTAAACAAAAATACAGAGGACAAGACTACGCGTCAGCTGAATTTCTGGGTTGCTGGGATACTGTTCTGAGCTACGTCAGTCTCTTAAAATATGAGTGTCTCTGACAATAGGATGGGTGATCCATTCTAACAATATATTAAAAGGCCATCATCAACAGAATGATGTGTTCGGTAATTTTTTTTTCCTTTGCTTGTTAACAGGTAAACCTTTAAAGGGAAATCGGATAAATATTTGCAGAGGAACAAATTAAAAGGGTATTGAGGGGTGGCAGGGAATTTAAGATCAATGGCCTGTCTTTTGTGCTGTAATTTCTATGAACCAAAAAGATCACTTCTGAGTAAAGAGCATTGCTTGAGTCATGGAAACATCATTGCCTTACTTGCCAATGATCTCATTGCAATAAAGATGGCCTGATGCTCTGCTGGCTGTTCTCCTCCTCTCCTCAAAACAGTGGCAATTTCTCCCTTTCCCGATTTACAAAGAGAACCTATAAATCGGTAACATAATCAGAAAATGCTGCCTGGGAATCCATAGTACAACAGATCGATCAGCATCTGAAAGAGGAAAAGATGGGTTAGCATATCAGGTGCGCCACTTCATTAGAACTGCATAACAAATAATTCGTTGTTGTCTTTCTGAATTTGGCTCACTGTGAAACCTTTGCAAAAGCACTTACATTTATATACCAGTGATAGACTGATAATGCATATCAGTCGCATGACACTCACTCTGTTTCAATTGCCTTACATCAATCATGTAGTATCACCTGAAAATGTGCAGCCTGTAGAAACGAAATAATGTTATATTGAAAGAAACTTAAGCACACTCCAGTTGTTTAATGCATGCATACAACATAAGGATTTTTTTAAATGCAAACAATTCTGAATCAATTGTTCTGAAGGTAGGTTATGATAAATATTGTTAAATTCTCTTTGAATGTAAATAAAATGTAGACTTTATTGCAAATTTAATGTGGTGCTGATAAGAAGATTAATCCTTCTGATAACAGACTGCAAATCAGCCTAATGGGTTCATGGTTCAAACAAGGGTTTCTGTTTAATGAGAACAGGTAAGAGATGAATGGCTTGTTAAACATTGCCAGCATACTTTCTTGGGTGCCATTCAGCGGTCACAGCAAGTGGAAACAAGGGCCTTGTGCTGTAGGTGCAGTGTGCTAATTTGGGCCAATTTTATTCTCTGCCTTATCTCTTCGCCTTCCTTACCTCCATGGAATTGCTGCCTTTAATGCTCTCAGTCTCTGCTGCACCTCTTGTACGCCTCCTAGCTTTTATCTGGACAAAAGTGCATGAATGGGCAATGCGAGCGTGTTTATTAATGAATGTACAGTTTTTTTTAATATGCTGCTCATAAAGTCATACAATTGTGAATGTTTTAACCTGTTCCCAACCAGAAAAGGCAACAACCTATCCACTCATTTTGGTTGAAATGCCTTTCAGTGGAAAAAAGGTTAATAATTCACAATTGTCAGATTGTGAAGGTTTATCAGCTTCCACCATTCACTTCATGGCTGTTTGTGGGACATTGCTGTGCACATATTGGCTGCCGCCTCTGCCCTCAAATGCACTGTCAGTGCGCTTTACAGAAAATTCTGGAAGCACTATGTGACATTTCAATGAATGTACATGAAAGATGTTATATCAATGCAATATTCTAACCATTTATTTTGCTCTTTTAGGTCTCTATCTTTATTAGAATTGTCAAAATAGAGGACATTTTGATATGGCGCCTTTCACATTGACAAGTCATCTCAGAATGTTTCACAGGATATACTGTAACTGGAGTGACTGTGTATTTTATGGGCTGGTAGGCAGTTTCAAGGTTGTGAATTTATTTGCAAGAGAATTAGGAAGCCAGCAAAGGCTAGTATGGTAATATGATCTGTAATGCAATACCATTGAATCTGATGTTACAAAGAAAGTTTATATTACGATAATAACAATTTACCTAGCATCTAATATGGCATATAAAATGCCAAAGCATCTCAAAGTGCTTCATATATAATTGCAGTCAAATGGAATGAATTTGTAGTCGTACACAAACAATTTGCATACAGCAAAGTCCCGCAATCATAATGACTAATGTTTCTGGAAACTCCCCTTTTTCAATCCTATGGAAATGTTAGAATCAACCTAAAAAGGAATATGAGTCAATTAAACATCTCAACTGATTTTTTGGGCGTCAGCTGGATGATTGACACTTGCGGAAACATATCACCGTGCTTAAGAGTATTCAAACCGAACTGAGAATTTCATGCATGCCACCTCCGGGACGAGAGACAACTTTCTTCAGCTCAACGTGTGCAAAACTGAGGCCCTCCTGATTGGCTCGCGTCAGCGCCTCCGCACCTCAGGCGCTGACAGCATCAGCATCCAAGGCTGCACTCTCCACCTCTCAAAGCCAGTCAGGAACCTCGGCGTTCTGTTCGACCCTGAGCTGTCCTTTCTTCCTCATATCCGCACCACAACTGGCACCGCCTTCCATCACCTCCGAAACATCGCCAGATTACGGCACTACTCACCCCTCACGCTGCTGAAACTCTGGTCCATGCCTTTATCACCTCAAGACTGGACTATGGGAACTCTCTCTTCGCCGGCATTCCCTGCACCTCCCTCCACAAGCTGCAGGTCATTCAGAACTCTGCAGCTCGTGTACTGTCCCGCACCAGGCTTCACGACCACATCACTCCCACCCTCGCTCGCCTCCACTGGCTTCCCATTCCCCAGAGGATCGAATTCAAGATCCTCATCCTCACCTACAAGGCCATTCACGGTCTTGCTCCCTCCTACCTCTCCGACCTACTATCCCCCTACCTACCTGCCCGTACCCTCCGTTCCTCTGGCTCCGGTCTGCTCCACATCCCCCGCCCCAACCGCCCTACCATCGGTGGCCGGGCCTTCAGCCTCTCAGCCCCTAGGCTCTGGAACTCCATCCCCCAGTGCCTTTGCCTTGCCTCCTCGCTTTCCTCCTTCAAGACCTTTCTCTTTGACCATGCCTTCAGCTCCCGTCTCGACTCTCTATCCCCTCCTCGCTCCCTCCCTTCCCTCCCCTCACCGTGACCATTTCCCCACTGCTCAGGTCCCGACCCAACTGTACAGCGCCTTGGGATGTCCTCCCGACGTGAAAGGCGCTCTATAAATGGAATCTTGTTGTTGTTGTAGTTCAAATAGAAATTCCCAGGTTTGGAATGCGCACTCGCTCTCAGAGGGACGTATCCTGCTTACCTCATCCAGAAACTATTAAGCGAAGGTTACCAAGAGCAGACTGTGAGTTGGGGTACTGCTGGAGTTTAACCAGCTAAAACCTGATGGACAGTGACTCTGATAATGTGTCAGTCCAGATTGTGCACACAAAGCTCTGATTTGGGATTTGAAACCACAACCCTTTGATACAATGGTGAGAGTGCTGCTAACTGAGCAATTCTGGTAACTTACTTTTAATAGCTCTTAAATCATCTGCAGTCTATTTGACCATGAAGTATATCAAGGCCAAGTGCAATTCTGTTCTTGCAGGTCAGCAAAGATCACTTGATAGGAATGCTGTCTTATTTTTTTTCCTTCCTGAACTCAGAAATGTTGAAGCCAATGTAGTACCTTAATTGCGAACTAGCTCACCTACAAAATAGTCACTCCAATTCATAGTAATTCTTGCAAAGCACTTTGAGACTTCCTTCCAAAGTGAAAGGTGCTATATCAAATGCAAAGATTATTATTTAAATCAGTACCAACAACAACTTGCATTCATATAACGTCCTTCAAGTAGGATAACAGTTGTGATTCAAGCCAAGTTGTGATGTTATGATGAACCTTTATAAAACACTGGCTAGGCCTCAGCTAGAGTGTTTTGTGTTCAGTTCTGGGCACCACACTTTAGGAAGGATGTCAAGGCATTGGAGAGGGTACAAAAGAGATTTATCGGGATGGTGCAAGGAATGAGGAACTTCAGTTATCAGGAGAAGCTAGAGAAGCTAGGATTATTCTCCTTGGAGCAGAGGAGGTTAAGAGGAGACGTAATAGAAGTTTTCAAAATTATGAGGGGATTTGATATGGTGAACAAGGGGAAACTATTTCCACTAGCAGGTGGGTCGGTAACCCAAGGACACCGAAGCAGAAGGTAGGTGAGGAGAATTTTTTTCACACAGCAAGTTGTTCGGATCTGGATAGCTCTTTTCAAAGAACCAGCACAGGCACGATGGGCCAAATGGCCTCCTTCTGTGCTGTATAATTCTATGATTCTATCACGTGACAAGAGGTAGGTTTTATTGCTAATAAGATTCAATTGATGAATAAGTGTCATTAAAGGCAAGGTGCAGGTGCGGAGTCAATAAAGTGTGAAATATTACTCGAGTCTGGCTGACCAGTTTGTGGCAGGTGCATTTTGCTTTGTTTCCTTTCAGATCAGCAAAGTGAGGCTTTGTTCATGCATTGTAGGTATTTCCCAAAGTGAGGCTATTGTGCATTGTGGTGTCTTCATGCTTTTCAGACCACTGTTCCCTCTGTGTCATTCATTTGCAGTTTAATCATCAACAAGATAATGTCAACAGCTCTCTTTCAGCCATGTCAAATAGAGCAGTTGATTTTGTTCACTTAGACACCTTACCTGGTTAGCATTTTGGGATCCTAATATCCCTTGAAGTTTTTTTGGGATATTGGGGTAGAAAAGGTGGACTTCACAAACCCCCAAAAGTCACTAAACATGACTTTTGCTTTGCAACTGAATTTGCTGACGAAATCACCCAGGATTTTGCTTTCTGACCTATGGTCACATTTTTTGCACCAACCAAAGTCCAACTAAAGGTCAGAAAGCAAAAGGACGGTCACAAAACAGCTTTTGCAGGCTTTAGAATCATTACTTCATTTCAATTCCTACAATTTTCATCATGAAACAGAAGGCAATTCACAAATGGAGCTATAAGACCATAGAAATTGTTCACTACAGAAAAGGCCATTTGATCAATCATGTCTGTGTTGGTTCTTTTAATCCTTTCAGTCCCATTTACCTGCCTTCCTCCCAAACCCCTGCAGCTTATTCCTTTTTAAGTATTTATCTGGTCCCCTTTTGAAAGCTAATATGGATTCCTCCTGCACTGGTGGACCTGGCAGGGCATTCTATATAGCCTAACTATTCTATGCATGAAAAAAATTCCCTTAACCTCCCCATTTGCTCATTTGCCCCACTTTAAACCCTATAGTTGTACTAAATCCTAGTTTAAATCTTGAAAAAGTATTAAATTATATCCAAGAATATTGAATATCATTAGGCTTAATGCATTGACCCTATTTGCTCAAATGTATGTTATCACCAATTTAATATGAACCAGTTTTCTTTTACTGACTAATTTGTTGCAATATTCAAATAATTAGACCGCTTAAGGTCATTTATTTCATTGCTGTTTGCTAGGGTCAATTACCTGTTTCCCTTCATAACTGTTCCATTTCAAAGTAGCTTGTTGCATGAAACATTGTGAGTTGCTTTTCGATGGGATAAAGAGTTACATTTAGAAGTATTGTTGTTATAAAATTCAGTTTATTTACAATCAAGTCATCAAAGCACGCCTGTGTTGTCACTTAACATTATTGAGAGTTGTAGAGTACTAAGGTCTAATAATATTAATAACCCTTGCATTTGATATAATGTATTTTACATCAGGAAGGTATTACATAGAGCTTCACGTGATATACTGTAAAGTACAGTAAGTGAACGCTTAAGTGTAAGTGTGGGAAGCCTCCTATTCCTGCCTTGATAAAGATGAATTCGAGAAGTTATTCATTTATTGTATGGACAAAGAACAACCGCTGGACAATTACTCCAGACATTAAGCTAATCTTTAAACTCATTGTTGTTTGTTACTTCTGCTTTTTTTGCTTGTGTTCAAATCTTGCTGACAATTCAGGAAAGCTAGTTGCTAAATTAATCATATTTCATTAGTGACAGATCTTTGGCTTGGCAGTTAGTATGCCATTTTCACAAGTATTATGATAATAAAATTGTACTGGTGGGCTTTTGTATATAGGGGAATTAAAATAAAAGCTATTCAAAAATGTTTCAGTGTAAAATTTTGGCTTTGCAGAGTGTGGATTTCACTTTTCCTTGGCCGATCAACCCTAGAAAATAAATATTAAGTGTATAAAAAGGGTGACCAAAAAGCTATGATACCATTGCATGTCTAATAAGTCTTAAAGAAATGTTAATATTTTAATAATCCTTGCATTTGATAATTTAATAATAATAATAATCCTTGCATGTGATATAGAGCCTTATCACATCTTCAGGCGTCTCGAAGCACTTCACAGAATATATTGATTTTTTTTAGATAATACAGCAGTTATTATGACTTTTTGCTCATCCTATACAATTATGACTTTAATAGTCACTGTTTGTCAAA